TTGTTTTTTTTTGGGGCCCCAACCCGCAGAAACCTTTTTTTTTTTTTTTTCTTTTTTTTTTTTTTTTTCTTTCAGCAGGACTCTAACCTGCTTCTCTTTATGTTTGGGCCTCTAACCCAACAAGACTTTATTTCGGCAGGACTCTAACCTGCTTCTCTTTATGTCTGGGCCTCTAACCCAGCAAGACTTTATTCCGGCAGGACTCTAACCTGCTTCTCTTTATGTTTGGGCCTCTAACCCAACAAAACTTTATTCCGGCAGGACTCTAACCTGCTTCTCTTTATGTCTGGGCCTCTAACCCAGCAAGACTTTATTCCAGCAGGACTCTAACCTTCTTCTCTTTATGTTTGGGCCTCTAACCCAGTTGGGATTAATGCCAGGGCGTCCCCTCGGCTTTCCTTCGGGCGGTAATGTCTTACCCCTGCTTCTTAACAAAGTGCTTTATCTTAAAAACAATATAAAAGGATAAATACCTCTTAATTTGGAGCAGGAGGTCCTTGTCCACCGATGCACGTTGGCCCGAGGGGAACAGGAGACTCTTTCGACGAAAATTCAGTCGGGGGCCCAGAGAGGATCCTGGCTCAGAAGGACTTTGGGAGTCCTGCCGCGGTCGCCAAAACATGATGCCGAATTTGCCCCAAAAGGCGAAATAGAAACTGCAGTCTCAGAAAATAGAAACTGCTCAGAGACTAAGTTTTCAAGTCCATAAGCAGGAGGTATTTATTAACAACGCGTTGGGGAACTCTCCAGGCCGCCCTGGACAAAGAGTTCCGTCGGTTAGCAATCAGTGCAGCTTTTTTATACAAGTTTGAGTGTAGGTTACATTATCTTTACATGCATATTCATATCTTTACATGCATATTCATATCTTTACATGCATATTCATATATAGGCGGAGTCTTCCATCTTGGGTAGTCATCTGGTGGGAGTTCCGGTGCCTTCATCAGGGTGGGGGATTGTCTTGTGAGTCTTCCTCAGGTTAAACTTCTGAACTCTTCCTAATTTGGGTAGCTTCTTGGTGTACTTGGCAAGGTCGGAGTGACCTTGGTTCATCCTAAAATTGTTGAAGCCACTACTTCATGTTCTGGTGTTCCTTCCTATCAACTCGTTCTGTTCTCTCAGACAATTTATTACCTTCGTGATTTGGTAAGATCCAGCAAATATAGCCTGACTGACCACAAACGGGGCCTGCAACTACTCAGAGCTATGATAAGTGACAAGAGAGGAAGGCAGGAATGTAGGGAGTAGTCCTGAGACCAGCACAATGATGTCTTGAAGCAGCAAAACAGTATTGTTGACCTTGTTAGGAGATAGGGGATTTAAAGAAGGAACCTAGCTTACATTTTAACTCCTTATTTCTCGAAGACTGCTTCCTTTTGAGCGGTTTCATACATATTGGATGTCCTCATCCATTTTCTCAAGTAGGCTTTTTTTCTGATTACCATTAACAAATTCTCTTAAACCAATGACTTTTCAGTACGGCAGACTGCTGATGGGCACTGTCTGAATTCTTGAGCAAAAAACTTTTTTTTTTTTTTTTAAAAAAAGCAAACAGCCCATCCTCTGTTAGTAGCAGAGGGCTAGAAAAAAGAAGAAAAAATACTTGGGTTTCTTCTGAATCCTTCTAGAGTTTCTGCCATATGATACTACAGCAAGACTTGGACTAAAATGGAAAACGGTGATAATCTTGGACAGTTTCTAATCACAGTTTAAAAACAGTGTTTAAAATTTTATTCTTACACATCTCAAGCCTTTCTGAATCATACCATCTGCTTCATCATAAGTGTAAGCATATTTAGTCTTTTTTTTTTTTTAACTGACAGCAACTTCTATTAAAAAGTGATCTCCTCTTCCTTGCCTCGATCACTGTATCATCTGAATTCCAAGCATGCATTTAGATTCATGCATTTTGTGGTAAACAAGCACTAGCAGAAGGCTGTTGAGTAATGTATCAAATATTAAGCTTTTTGGCTGATAACTCTGTAGAATGAGCGTACAGGCATAATGACTTTAGCTCGGACCCTCTTAGCAGTACTTCAGTAGTCCATTAATGGTCTTCAGAATTTACAAGAAAGTAAAATCTGGGGTAACTGCAACTCAGAAATGTTGAATTTTATCTTGTCAGCAAGATCTGTCTGCCTTTCTGCTTCTTAGAGCATGCATTCAGCTGTGGTTTAATGTTTCAAACTCATTATTCAAAAAGATAGTGTACGATACCTAAAGAGCTGAGAAACTTCTAAGACCTGAATCAATACACTTACAAAACAGGGAGAGTTTAAGTGGAACTAATTCCATGTGGGAAAGAGAGATTAACAGAAGGGGAAAATAGCAGTTAATTAAATTTAATTTGAAAATCTGTTAACAAATGTAAAGATGATTATGGGTGATCTTGCATAAAACCACAGTAAAATGTAATCAAAGGACTGTTCCTTTTGAGAACTCTGAAACACTGAGGCTCAGGGGTGTGTATGTTAGGCATAGTAAAAGAAAAAGGTGAGGGTTTAATAGCAAGGCAATACAGATGCAAATTGTTATTTAGAGTGAAAGGTTTCTACCTGATAATGTCTCCTTCATTGAGCCATGCAAATGAAAGGTATATTGCATCATGTAATTGAGAAGCAACAGAAGGTCTGTCAAAGGGAATTAACTTTGAGTGTAGCTACTGAAAATAAATTTGAAATCATTTTACCCTGACATGCTAATGCTCTCCTTAAGAGTTACCTGTCTGGCCTTCCTAACGGGCTTGTGGGCTACCATTTTGTAAGTGGTATTACTAAAACATAACACTCAGGATGGGGACGGGGGCACAACATGCAGGAGTTTCCAATGGCCAATGACTTTGACTATTTGTATGAAGGAAGGAAAGGAGAGAACTTGACTTTTACATCTTTTACATATGACGTTGTAGTGGCTTGATATTTATAGAATAGTAGCAGATTAGAGATGAAAAAAAGTGTATATTTTTCACATGAGGTTGTAATTTTTTGTGTAAGCGCATGTGCAAGCTTAGTGGTCTTCAGATTCTTACCTGTTACATATGTAAAACTTTTATTATAGTTTGATTTCACTGGTATGAGAATGAGGCCCTGTGAGTATATTACTTCATTATTATCATTGTGTTGTACTTTCAGTGACTACATTTTAAATCTAGAACCTGGTAAATTTACTTTTTTTTTTTTTGAAGCAAAGTGTTTGAGCACGTACCTTGTTTATAGCTCCAGAGCTGGCTTGGGAAGGGGTAGGATCTGACTTGAGATACAAACCTGTATTTTAAAATGCATTAATATGTATGATAGCTTAAGGAGGCTATTTCATATTGTAAAATGAGAAAAGGAAAAATGACACCTATTAATAGCCTTTCAGATGGGTGCAAAGCCTTGAAGATTAGTACATTCATCATAATGTCATATTTTACAGAGACTTTTAATTCCACAAGTTTAGAGTTGGGCCATAGAAATCAAGTAAATCTCTAATATTTTTCTGTCATTCCCACCAGGTTTCCAGAATAAAAATAGGGTTGCAATCCTGGCAGAACTAGACAAGGAGAAGAGAAAGTTACTTATGCAAAACCAGTCTTCCACAAATCACCCTGGAGCCAGGTATTTTATGTTCTTAGACCTGTTTGGACATCACTAATTAGACCAAAGGGGAAAAAAAATAGCAAGGGAGCTGTAAAGTTACATAAACACATAATCAGAAGTGTTTTCTGGCCATCCTCAATAACCAGTCAGATAGACCTTGCACTTCAGGAATATACTAGTATTTAAAATTGTTTACAGACCCTGAATTTTGGCTTAGGTATTTTCCATTTGAGAAGGGAAGAAGCAGTTATGCTTACTCAACTGTATTAGAGTCTACCTTAAAGAAGAATCGGGGAGCAGGCACTGAGAAAGCGTTTAATTATTAAGCTAAAATGCCCTAAAGGGTGGAAGTGGCAGAACATTAGTTTCAGGGCTGTGTGTTTAGAGAAGAGCAGTTACGGCAGGGAGTGAGTTATCCTTGAAGCTCCTTGTGTGCCAGACAAAGCCAGTTTGTTACTGCAGATCTTCTCGTAAAAGATGGTGTGTTGCAAAGATGATTCTACACTAGAAGCTCTAATAATCTAATATGAGCTTGGGAGATGTCACTGGGATTTCTCCCATTTAAGACAAAAAGATTAGATTTTTGTTATAAATCTGTAACTAGAAAATCACACGCTGATTTACGTGGAGAAAGTGAGATAGTTGAACTTGTGGGTTAGCATGGAGTGAGTGCAGTGCCGTATTTTAGACATAGTGTATTACATACAGTCTTCATGCTACATGCAGAGTCAAATTCATTGAATACAGTCTGAGCACTGCCTGTATCTTTTTTCCAAGGAAATTCTAGGTCACCTTTAATTCCTTCATACTGTGAAAAGGCATGCAGAATACTTGAAATTCCCCGAGTTGGATCTCTGATTCACTCTGTGTACAGTTGTTATTCAAGGAAAATTACCGATTAGAGAAGAAAACAGAAATACCATACTCTTATGTACAACCTCTGACTCCTGGCAACTGTGTTTCCATACTTCATTGCGAGTCAAACAGAGTTTCAGGGCATGCTTGTTTGCTTTCTCTTTTCTTTAAGGAAAAATAATACTATATGCTAGTGAGCAGAATTAGAATTTACTAATTTTGAAAGTGGGGATGTCGGGGGGAAACCTGCAAAGCAACAGTCAAACTCTCTGCTTTGGCATGGTGGGCTGATGTGTGATTTTTTTTTTTTTTTTTTGAGAAGCTGATGGTTCTGTGGCAGGGTTGCTGTGCCAAAGGTTTTGGGCCATGGAGTTGTCAGAAATGAGACCACAGAAATTCTGCAAACTTGACAGAAAAAGAGCTTGATGTACCTGGAGCACAATAGTGGCATGGCCAGCATAAGGGTGAATGTGTTAATTGATTTCTGGCCTTGGCATACAGGAATAGTCTATCTAAGAACAGAAGGTTTCTGTTGAGAAGTGTCAGCTTATGATGAAGCCTTAAGATTATCGACAGAAATCATATTGAAAAGTTAAAGGGTACAGAATTAAAGGCAAAACGCACACCTTCAAAATAACTGAAAATAGTATGTTACAAATAAACTGAGTAGTTATTTTCTCCAGCAGTGAGGCTTATCTTAATATTTATCAGAAAAATCTGTTCAGAGGATTGTTACTTAGCTTTCATTATGCATTTAGGCATACATTTGACTGAAGGTCTTTTCATGAGCATGGCTGCTTTTGATTTATTAAGTCAGCTGTTGACATTGAAGCTGCTGGGAAAGGTCAATTGATGGGTTTGCTTGGATCCCTTGTTGTCCTTCATACTTTTGTCTCTATGAATGAGGAGAGCTGGGCTTTCAGCACCAGCCTCCTGAGCCAGTTTCAGAAGTAGTTGTAAATTGCCTTGCAATACAGCTCTAATGGCAGTCCTCACTGATTTCTATCTGGAGGATGGCTGATCATGTTACTTACATAATGTTGGGAAGTTGTTGAAAGTCTGCTTCTTATTTCTTCTGTTTTTTGGTTAACAAGGTGGACAAATCTTAAGATATATAAGCCAAGAAAAGATATTTAGAAATTTTAATTTGAAATCTAATGTATGCTGCATTGAGATAGATAAGCAAAATCAATTTTAGGTTCTCTAAGCCATCACCAGAGGATTGTTATTTCAGTTACATCAATAGGAAGCTCCTTTGTGATAAGCAGTGAGCTGCTGCTGCCCACCTGCCAAAGAACTGGTCTTATACTGAAGACTGTTGAGTTCTTATTTTCTGTTTCTGTTTATCACAGTTTTTTTAGAACAGTCACTGAATGACTGGGTAATGGTGAAAACAAAAAGCTGTTGTTTTAAAAGTTGCTGATGTTGTCTAACATTGCACCCAGTAGTTCTGCTGACTTCAGTGGGACTCCACCCTTGAGCGAAATCCACGACAGGCTTCAGGACTATGAGTCTTCTGGGTTTAGTTTGGCATCAGTTGTTTATGCTAGGTCAAATGATACAGCTGTGGTTGCTCCATTTTCCTTTCCCCATTTATGTTAACAATAGTTAACAATTGTTGAGCCATGAGTCAAATAAACTGTAAGCTGTGGAAGTCATGGAATCTAAGGCTAGAATGGCAAGGGCAAGTTGTTTTGTTTTGTGTGTTGTTTTTTTTTTTCTGTGGTATATGTATCATGCCATCTTCTTTCTTGCAGCATTGCACTTGCAAGATCACCCCTGAACAAGGATTTCCGTGATCATGCAGAGCAGCAGCACATCGCAGCACAGCAGAAGGCTGCACTGCAGGTAAGCCAACACTCAGGTTCAGTTTGGCTTGACTCTCAGATGTGCAGTCCTGCACCTAGAGAATGAAAAACCCCTTTTAGAGGGTAGGTTTCATACGTTTCTGAAATTTCTTCTTCTGTTACAATGAAAGCTGAAATCTATCAGCTCATTCTCCCTCGATACAGTTGTAAGAATGTAGCCTACGGGATCATCATAGCTGTTCTGTACATCTCAGTTGAGTCAGTTTCATTATACTTCTGAATGTCTCATCAAGTGTAAGGGGAAATAGCCACACCTTTTTGTACATTTACAGGCCTCTATTTCCTGCTATTTTTATCATGTCAGGTGAGGTTGATTTTGGTGTTGAAATTGGAAATTGTGCAGCAAAGCCAGCACATGGCCACCTGCCTTCCTGGCACTCCAGACAGAATGATTTGGCAGGGCGCACAGAACAGGAAAAAGCTTTGAGATGCAGACTAGCAATGCTGTTCACGTGTCCGTGTTATGTTTCTGTTACCCAGTACAGGTCCCCACATTGCTTCTCCTAAAATGGATGGGAACAGAAATGAGCTCTGGCTGGTGTCCTGTGTTGACCACAGGACATTGTAGGCTGGAAGGAACCTCGGGAGGTTTCTAGTCCAGGGCTTTCCTCCAGGAATGACTATGAGTAGTGCTGTATCACGTTGTTCAGGGCATGGTCCAATCAAGTTTTGAAGCTCTCCAGGGATGGACTTCTTGTGCCCTTTCTTGGCTCTAAGTCTGTTTCTGTCTTCTCTGTATCCTGTCACTGAGTATTTGAAAATAGCATAAGATTTCCGCACAACTTTCTCTTCTAACAAGTTCAGTCCTCCCACCACCCCACTGGACACTGGGAGCTCCAGTGCAACCCCCAGCCTTCTCTTTGGGTCTCTGTTGGACTCCCTCCAGTTTGTATCTCAAACTGAACACAGTATCACAAATGGAGCATCATGAGTAGCTTCCCTTGGCCTACTGGCTGTGCTGTTGCTGGTGCAGCCCACTGACCTGGGAAGCTGGTTATAGATGGGAGTGGAATCGAGGCAGAGGAGAACAATCAGGAGTTCATTTACCACTCTCCCCACCCCCACGAGATTTGCCGAAAAAGAAGCAGCAGAGAATGACCAAGTTAATTCCCTTGATGGGCCCTGTTCAGGTGTGGCTGGTCTAAAGTGCTGGTTTTGAATTTGACTATCAGAGTTGAAGAGCAGACTGGGAGAAATAAATAATCAATGCTGCAGAAGCTGTAAAGTCTTGAATTATATCAGTGCTGTGGGGAGTTATGCTTTAACAAATGTTTTTCTCTTTCCAGCACGCACACGCACATTCCTCAGGATACTTCATAACTCAAGACTCTGCATTTGGAAATCTTATTCTTCCTGTCTTACCTCGACTTGAGGCAGAATGAGGAATGTTGTTTCTCAGAACTGCAAGGTCTGATTTTTGTCCACAGCAGAAACTGTCTGACCTTTTAATTTCTTTACTTGACTTAAGACCTATTTTTTTTCTGGATTTTTGCCTATTGGGAGTGTGACATCTAACAACGAAAAAGCAATGTTGTTGAACAGCAATTTTTATCCTATATTTCTGCTCCTGTGTCGGGTCAAAGACAGACTTAAGACTTCCTTGGTGTGTGAAGTGCAGAGTGCTTGCTCTTCCGTGTTTCTGTGCTTCCTTTAAATAAACATACAAACCTGAGTCATCAACAGATGCACACTCTGTCGGCATGTGTGTTTCTTATTATTGTGTACAGGTACTACACTTGACTTCAGTGAGAGGCGAAAGTTACTTTTGTCCATCAAAACAGACATGAATTTGTCTAATGCATCGCTCAGTCCCTTTTTTTTCTCCTTTTTTTTCCCCTCTGTATGCAGGAACATTGCTAGTGTACTGTTTGTGGTACCATCTGGTGTCACGTCCTTAGCTATAGTGTGCCTGCCTCTTATTTTGTTTTGTGAGATGTGAAAATTAGTTAAAGTGGGGAAAAAGCAATTGTTTCAAACAGTCTGTTAACAGACAAAATAAAAGAAACCGTTTAACTTCTCTGGAGATTTCAGATGGAAAGTGTTGTCTGCAAGGATAATTCTGTTTAAAAGTTCATATTTTTCTAATCATATCTTTTCCAATACTTAGTGTATTTCATTTTGTTTGCTTTTTTCCTTCCTGTTTTTATCTGTGATAACCAAATCCAACTCTGTGCTGAAAGAAAGTCTGTTGATCTTAAGGTAAATTATTTTGGAATTGTGATCATGTTACCAGTAACCAAGTAACTTAGAGTGAAGAATATTCTTTACATAGATGTTCATATATCTCCACAGCTTTACTAATACAATTACACTAGTGCACTGATTGCTTTACCTATGGAGGCAAGTTATAGAAAACAAAAAGAACAAGAGAACTTCACAAATCAGATGCCTTCTGTTAAATTGGTGCCCATTTGAAGCAGCTCCGACCTCTGCGGAAACTTAGCTGTACGATGAGGTTTCCGAGGTTATAGTCTACAGATTTCTGTAGTGACATTCAGGTGCCCTGTTTCCATCTGCAGGGGATTCCTGAACCCAGGGAGCGTTGCTGACCTGTGAGCACTGCTAACAGTTCCATTTCTCATGAGACAGAAAACAGAGTGAAAAGATCAGTACGGGTGTGAGGAAAATGCCATCGCTTTCATATACATCAGCTGAGGGCAAACCCTTGCAGAATCTTTAGCACACTGGAACATTTTCAAGAAGGAGAATCTTGTGGAGGAGACCTGATAGAGCTTCAAGATGTGCAATTGTACCATGAACTATTCATGTCATGTGTGCTTTAGGGGGTCTGATGTGGTAAGTCTTTGGAACAATGATGGGTTAGTGGGCAATGGAGAAAGGAGTACTGTCATTTCTGTTTTCAGTGGTTGGCTCTGTGTAGCTTTTTCCTTTAAATTACCAAGAGTAACTTGACCATGAAGCTGTCCTGACTGCTCATTATTCTGCAGTGTTAGCTGAGTATCTTAGATGCTTTGAAGCAAAAGATCTCTTCTCAGTGGTGCCCAGTGAGGGACAAGGGGCAACAGGCACAAACTGGAACGCAGGAGGTTCCATCTGAGCATGAGGAGGAACATCTTTCCTTTGAGGGTGGCAGAGCCCTGGAACAGGCTGCCCAGAGAGGTGGTGGAGTCTCCTTCTCTGGAGACATTCAAAACCTGTCTGGATGTGTTCCTGTCCAACCTGCTTTGGCAAGGGGGTTGGACTAGATGATCTCTGAAGGTCCCTTACAACCCCTCCCATTCTGTGATCTGCAAATCTGTGTGTGTAGAAGAGGCAGCTGTGAATCAGTCCAAAGGCAAAGAAGATAAAGCAGGTAACAGCAGGCAGTTTGGATTTTAGATTTTAGTTGAATTTAAAAAGCAGGCTGGGTGTTTCAACTTTAAAAAGCGCTTTTTTTTTTCCTTTAGAAAAGTGGCAAAAGAATGCTTTCTTTAGAAACACACCCTCTGTGCTAACAAATTGAACTATACAATCACTCGGTGTTGCTGCACAGACTGCATATGAAACAGTAAAGGTTCCTCTTTAGCAAGCTATTGCTCCACTGAGGGAGTCAAACTTGTTTTCATCTCGGCTATCAAAAGATGTGCTTTTGGAAATCCAGGGAAGATGGAGGTATTTGAAAGAGGGGAAAAATTGACACAGCTGTGGTAATATTTTTAAGTTATAATGCTTCAAATTATTCTGTGTCATCATGAGGGACTTGGTGATATATGTAGATATAATTAACTGTCAAAGATACAAATGTTGTATATGGAAGCTTCTCTCTTCGAAACCACAGACTCTAGCAATTAGTGTCAGATGCATCAATTTGTCTTGCCACTCTTACTTTTCTGCTATTAATCAGTATTTAAACCATTAATCTATCCCTGTGCAGTAATCTCAGCAAAATCTCTTCTCCTGCTGGAATTGTGTGTTCAAATTCAAATCATTATTAGTTAGAATATACCCAAACCAGGAAGTGCCCGGGATGTCTTGCTGCTGGCAGTAACCATTGCCTGTAAAAGCAGAGAGCTCGTCATCTAGTGCTGACCTGTGTACCTCAAAGTATCTTAACACACAAAAATCACTCAAGAGTCATTTTATTTCATTTGCTAACAGCAGTAATTGGCCTTTTCACTCAACACAGGTGGTTGGTGTAGGGTCCATATCGGAGCTGGATGGTGGGGTCACAGGGTGGGTATGACACTAAAGAGATATGATAGACGAGAGGTGGGCTAACACACAGGGAGGTCAGGCTTTCTAAGTGATGGCAGAGTCATCATCTGTCAAGAACAGATGAGGTGAAGGAGTCAAAGATCTTGAACTGAAGCACAGCTTCTTTCTTCTTAGCTCTGTGTAGTAGAAAACTAGACAAGTTTTCTCTCCACACCCTTATTTTCCAAGCTCACTCACCATTTCCCCACCGTTAGAGGTTCTGGAAAATCTCAGTTTTAATACAACAAGCCTGACCCGTAGGACCACACATGGTTTCCTACCACTACAGGGTTTTACTCTCCATTTCTTCATAGTATTTTCACTCTACTGGTCTCTTAGAGGCAGTGGTATGAAATAAATCAATAGTATCTGATGTTATATTTGAAGTTTACGTCGGAACATGAAATACCCCATGAAACTTACTATCGGAAAGATATTTGAGCCTCTAGTGTCACTTGCCAGGAACTTCCTGGTTGCTGTGATGTGTCCAATCAGTTAAAATAGCTAAATGCCACTTCTACCTTCCTGTGCAGTTGGCACGGGACAGGCCATCTGCAATTTGCAAGTCCTACGAAGGCAGCTGATCATGTTGAGGGGTCCTGTCTGAGGGAGACACTTGGGGTGGCTGCGTGTTTTCTGTTGGATGACCAGTGTCACTTAAAGGCTGGAGGTCATTTATCATCTTGGTGCACCGTAGAGGTCATTGCTCTGACCCTGACCTTGTAGAAATGCCTGATGAGGACAGGCTTTTCCTATCTTCTGTAGAAAGAAGAGGAAAGTGCTGATTATCAACCAGGTAACGGGGAACAGAACTTCGAAGTGGTGGAAGGAAATGCAGGCAACTGTGTCTCGGGGCACAGAGGGTTTTGTGGTGTGACTTACTGTTGTGTTTGCAGTGTTTCAGGGACAGAGCACAAGGGCTAAAGGAGGAGGAGCCTGGAGTAGTCCAGTGCACAGGTGTGCGAGCAGGCGGTGACTATCCCAACCCATCCTCTTAAGCATTACGATAGTTAAAACAGGGCTTGGTGTCTTCACCAGGAGGAAGCGTTGCTAAGAATAGCTGTCTTAATGCCAGTGATGTTCTTTCACCTTCTATCTCCTTCAATGTATATCCAAAGTCAGGAGGATGCCTGAGAATGCAGCTGGATGGTTCCTGTTGGTCAAAATTATGGCACTGATGATTCCTCCTGTGAAGCCAGCTCAAGTTTTCTGGGAAGGGCAGGGTCAGTACACTGTGCTACATCCTTCTGCCAAAACTGCAGCTGTTTCCCATGTCCTAGGGAACAGGTAGCAACCAACATGAGATGTGAATCCTAAGGGAAAAGCTAAGAGGAGGCAGCTCTCTGCTGGGTGTGTGCACCTGCAAAAGAGTTGGAGATTGAGGGAAGGCTTGCCTGCACCTAGCTGGAAGAGTGTTCCCATCCAGAGCTTTATCAGCCTGATTTATGTTTTGCTAACGCAGGGACAAAATCCTATAGCCTCTGCTAGTAACACCCTTCTCCCTGATAGTCTGTGTGTTCTGAAACACTTTTGGAGTCTGTAGGGAATCCTTGGGCTAAAACACACTGTATGGAGCTCCCTGAAGTGAACAGAAACTTTGAGGATTAGTGGGGGAAGTGGATTTCACGTGCTGTTGGGTTAAGAGCTTGCTCCATTGAGTTTCTGGATTTGTTGGAACCACAGAGCTTGCCCCGGGCTCTTTACAACAAAGACAACGCCTTCTGCTTGTTTCCTGGTTCTTGCTCTTGATAGAAGGAATTAAGTGACATGCCTCCCTGGGGAACTGATTTTTACATTCCTTGAATACAGGTTTTTCAGAAAGGAAGAAAGCAGGTTAAACACACTAAGTGGAGAAAATTTTATTAGTGCAGCAGGACGTGAAAAACAATACTTCACTACTGGTGAGGGAACGTCTCCTCTCGGTTACTGTCCTCTGCAGGTTCATTGGAGCACTGAGTTATGAAAAGTGGTGGCACGGTTCTCGACTTGTTCTCATTAAGGCCTCTAATCCTGGATACTTTAGTGTCAGTGGATGCTACTTTAGTCATGCAGGTTCTGTAGATTGTGGCTAGAAGTTGTTCAAGATCTACCTTACAGCTGTCCCAAGATTTGTACTGGTTCATTTAGAAATGTGAGTCAGAGGCTTGCACACCACCTTCATGGTGCACTTGTGTTGTACTGCCCATTAGCACGCGTGTATTGCTGGTTCGTAGAGTGTGAGTTTCTTTCAGTAGGAAAGGATGTCCCATTGTACAAAAATATATGTAGATTTATGGACATTTTTACATCTTCAGAGGCTTTTTCAGTGCGTTACCTGAATCCTCACTTGAGGCAAACTGAGTTCTGTTATCTTCAGTTTTGCAGATGGAGAAAATGGCAAAGGGGTTGCAATACCTGCAGGTACATGGAAAGCCTGTGGAGTTGCCAGGATTAGCTCCTGATTAGTGAGCTGGTGTGAAGCATCACCTGGAGGGCTATATCATCCTGCACCTGCAGCTGGCTCTTCTCCCCCTCTCCTAGAAGATGCTGAGCTCTTTGGTTTCTGGTTTGTCTTTGCTGTCATGGGTAGCTCAGGGCTTAGGTTGGTTTGGGTTTTTTTTCTCAGATAGTGAAGACAACAAAGTAGGGCAGGGTTTGGGCCTTTTATGTTTGAAATTTTTTTCAAGGGGAGGATGGTGATAACAACAACAGTGGTTGTTTTTTTATCAACAATATCAAAACAAACAATACAGGGTGTTTGGAAGCAAGGGCAAGGGTACTTCCTTCTTCACGGCAGTGATCAGATAAACTTGCCCATTATGCTGGGATGTAGCCATCATTTTG